TCAGAACAGGAAAAGTGTTGCATACTTTTGATCTATCTTATGGCTTCTACAGGACAATATGTACTTAATACATTGACATGGAATAATCAAGCAGTGGGACCAGGTTCTCCTCCTGGAATTGGCCTTGTTATGTTATAGTCTTGGCTTCTGGAATTTACTGACCTATCATTCGGGTTACGCATACCAGACCTTTGTGGCACCGGTTTTCGTTCCTGGTGAGCAGCAAACGCTGTGCAACTTATAAAGTCACAGATGCTAAAATGCCACCACAAGCCTTGAGAATCAAAATCTCCAGAGGACAAAGCCTGGGTATCTGTGTTTTGAAAGCTGCTTAAACGAGTCGGATGTACAACCACGATTGAGGCCTGCCTCCTGTGGGCCGCTCCTTCACAAAACTGCCGACAGAAGTTTCTCAGGTACCGGCGTCACTCACAGACCCAACCAACAAAGGAAGCACCCGCATCACTGCAGTAGGATGGTATTAGGATTGCGCCTGGGTGCCCACGAGCAGGTTACGTACAAGAGGAAGATAGCCCAGGGTAATTGTACGTTTTGTACAGGGATTTCTCACTGAAAGCATTTTTTTAATTTTTTTTTTTTTAACATTTATTTATTTTTGAGACAGAGAGAGAGAGCATGAACAGGGGAGGGTCAGAGAAAGAGGGAGACACAGAATCTGAAACAGGCTCCAGGCTCTGAGCTGTCAGCACAGAGCCCGACGCAGGGCTCGAATGCACGGACCGCGAGATCATGACCTGAACCGAAGTCGGACGCTTAACTGACTGAGCCACCCAGGTGCCCCTGAAAGCATTTTTTAAAACGCTCCAACACAATGACCTTGGGGAGTGAGGACCAGAAGAGAGAGAGCGAAGGCTTATCAGAGAAATGGAGAGACAAAAAAACAAAGCTAGAGTTATGGGTAGGTGGTCATCTAGAAAGTGTGATTTTTAAGGGCCTATCGACTTAAAATTCCATCATGAAAAACTCATCCCTTTGACTTAAAACTTTATCTCCTGTTAATGTGGAAGTACCCGTGAATCACATCTGGGTGGGCTCGTCATATCCTTACCTGAGAACACATTGTGATGGGGTATGGGGAAAGATCTGAAAAAAATGGGTGGAAGGCTGAGGAGCTGTTGCCAAAGGAGGAAACATGCAAAGCAGGTCATCTCGCAGATGGCGGCAGCTGGACAAATATTGACAACTTGATTTGCTGTCATTTAAAAAGAAAACGTCTGGAAGCTAAGATGGACCATGGAATATTCTATATTTGCCCCTAACTGCCCTGCTGAGGTGAGGAGCTTCTTGGCTGTCCCTGGCCAATGCTGCTAGCTCCTGAATTCAGAAGAAGGCAACAGGAGAGCAGCCGCATCCCCCTGGGAGATGGCCTCGTGGTCTAGGCTGGCCAGAGAGCCAGGGCTCTGAGCTCCAGCCCGAGGGTTTTCCTCTGACTCGCTGCGTGGCCCCCGGCCAGTTTCCTGAGCAGCTTAATTTTCCTTGTGTGTCAAACCAAGATAAACACCTAACTTCCCACCTCTCTGGGGCATTGTAAGATTTCGTCCCTGCCACTTTCGTTAGCATTTGTCCGAAGACCATAAGAAGAAAGCTCCTAGGAAGTTTTAAGACAAACCGTTTTGACTCTTAGCATTATCCTTCTGAGAGGAGAGCTCGTGTAGCGCTAGGTGGAAAGGAGAAGGTATGGGGAGGGCGGGGAAATGGAGGACGCAGCTCCACTCGGAAAAGCAGTGTTTGCGGTGGAAGAGAAACACGAAAGGAGGGGGGGGGTTGGGGTGCAGGGGAGAGAATTCTACAATTGGTACCAGATGCCATCAGAAGCTAACGACCTGACAAACACCGTCCTCATAAAACAAATTCCTTAAAAAGGAAGCAAATGGAAATGTAAGCTAGTGAAGGAATTTGCAGCAGCTGCCCTAAAACCATTTCTCACTTCATAAACAGGTCTGGGTTTGGTGCCTTTTTTTTTTTTCTTGGTCTTATTTCATGCCACACTTTCCCCCTCTTCTGTGCTCCCCTCTTCCGTCTCACTCTTCCTCCTTTGCTGCCAGTGCTGGAAGGACTTCTTACACCGGTAGCCTAGCAACAGCGGTGAACGGAACCCCATCTTGACAGAAGGAGGCTCATTCCGAGTATTTGCTCTGTGTCTTATCTCGGCACGCATTTGTCCTCAACGATGACACGGATTAATTAATTGGCTGGAGTCACTGACAAACAGCACGTGCTATTTCACATTAATTTCCTGGCAACAAGCTGACAGGAACCAGAACTGTTAATGACTATGTTTTCTAGTACTCTCTGTTTACCAGGCTGAAGAAATATTACTTTCTTGTGGACATCAAGGAATGCAGCAGCATCTATGAAACTTGGAGCTCTGTAGCATCACTAATGAGGTGTATTGATCTCATCCAATGGAGGATGGTCAGGTTTCAGATCCCTCATCCAGAGAGGTCAATAAAGACTCGGGGACAAAGATTTATTTCCTGCACTGCATACCCAATTATCAGCACTGGATTTGGGGGAATTTATGTTGAGAGTTAACAGTCCCTACCCCCCAATTCATATATTCCTTCCTCCACCACGCTCTGTGGAATGAATCTGAGGGAAACCACACTTAAGGGAATGCTCAGGACTCAGAGGATTAAAAAAGTTTCTTTCATACCACTCAACTCCAATACCTCTATCCTATACCTAATAAGCATAGATAAAGAATGTCACTGACATATGACTTAAATCCTAGGGGTACAAGATAAGAGGCAGCAACTTTTGCACATTCAGATCAAATCCATCCTTTATGGATTAGTGCTTTTTTGTTTTTTAAGTTTTATTTATTTATTTTGAGAGAGAGAGAGACATCGTGGGCAGGGGAAGGGCAGAGAGAGGGAGAGAGAGAATCCCAAGCAGGCTCCATGCTGTCAGCACAGAGCCTGATGTGGGGCTCAAACTCATGAACCGTGAGATCATGACCTGAGCTGAAACCAAGAGCCAGATGACGCTCAACCAACTGAGCCACCCAGGCACCCCTTGGATTAGTGCTTTTAAAATCAATTCTCATTTATTTCGAGGTGGTATGTGCATATTCAATGACCTTTAATTTTTCACTTTCTTATATTTTCCAGCTTTTTAATAAAGTCATTGACTGTTAACAGAATTCTAGGACCATTGACCATAACAGAATTCTAGGTAGAGCAAATTAACGATGATGAGAGTCACAGTATCCTTTAAACTAATATTTGACACCACTGACAACAACATCATGAACAAGAAAATATAGGAAAATATCGTGTTGGTCACCTCAACTAGACTATGATTTCCTTAGGGGCATGATATTTATTGTACCCCCGGTACTCAAACGAATACCTTGCCAACAGTAAGTGTGCAGTAGATGTTGATTGGTGAATGAATGAATAGGGGCAAGATGGTTGAATGACTGTTCGATGATAATATTTTTGTGTTTCAGATTCCCATCTGTCATTTGAAAATTTAACAAATTACCCATTTTAGTAGCCATTGACTGACTTTGCTGTGCAAACACATTTAAGTCAGCCAGCTTTTATTGTGTTTGCTACCGCAAGGTATATGGTGAATATAAAAGTGGGTCAGAGTCGGAATTTGTCTTCGAGAAGGTCATAATCTGGTTGGGAGTTTGAGCACTTAGGAGATACTCAGATCCCAATTGCCTTGTAGATCCAAGGATGGATAAATTAAAGAATAAGCAGATGCGTACATGACTATAATATAGGATAGAGTAATAGGAGTGTTAGAGGGAAATTATTTTTAAAATTTCCCTGGGAGGTTCACAGGAGGAAAATACCTGAAGGGACTTCTTGGAGAAGAAAGTCCTTTTAGAAATCTCGACAGTTTGAGCAAAGGTACAGAAATGGGAGAACCAAAAAGTATGGATTGCCAACAGAAAACAAGCCACTGAGGGTGGGACTTGGGCCATCGGCAGTGGAGCAGTAGGGGGATTTAGCCTGGGAACCATAACACCCTGTGGGATATGTGCCTTTATGATCCTCCTCTTATGAGGGAAGGAGCTGAAACACTGGGGAATGAATAACTCAACCAAAGCACACAGGTAGTAAGTGGCGGATCCAGGATCCAAAGTCAGACAGTATGGGGCCATGCCCTCATTTTTCATGTCTACACTGCTGCCGTGGGAAGAGGGCAATGCTCGTTTTGCTCTTGGTGCTGTTATGGTCCAGACTGAGTCACCCTGAACCTGGGGAGTTAAGCTCTGTCACCCATTCTTGGTTGATCGGCCCTAGAGCCCTAGGCAGTGGTCCTGCTCTGCTGAGATGATGTCCCCGAAGCACCTAGCACAACGTCAGGCACAAGACAGGGATTTAGTATGTGTGAGTTTCCTCTTCCTGTCATGGGCTCCGTTTCTCATTAGCCAGTGTGGACGTTCAGTGGAGGGTAGTGCTATGGCTACAGTTGTCAAAAATATTTCCACACCAATCAGTGAATAAATGTTTCCTTTTCTGCCATCTCAGGTACCCCAGACCTTTCATGTAGGGCCCTCGGGAATCCATCTGTAATCAAACAACTGAAAGGTCAGCGTGTGACACAACCCGGGGCCCCCAGGATCCACTCCTGATCTGGGTCTGCTCTGATTGTTTGGGACCCAGTGGTACCGGTGGTTAAACATTTCGAGGATTGCTCTCTAATCTACCCATTTCTGATGCCATCCAGAGCTCTTGGGACACGTTCCCCACCTCGTCCTGTCACCATTTTGTCCTCCTGGAAGAGCCGTAGGAAGTCGTTTAATCATTCGTGACCTGTTAGCTGATTATCGTTCTTTTTCATTTTATGTCACACGGTTCCAGGTCATACGGAAGGAGGTGATGAGTTCAGTGTTGGGTTTGGAGAAAAATCGTTCTCTTTGGTTTGGAGGCACTTTCCAGATGGGAAACTGCAGAGTCTTTGCTGTCGCCCTCTGGTTTGGAGTCTGTCTAAGATGCTTTTGTTTCTGTCATCCCCAGCTGTGTCCACCGGCCCTGTGGGGAGCAGGGCAGCTGTGCGCCATTGCTGCTTGATCACGCGGATATGGTGAACTGTACCTCTGGTGGCCCAGGTCACATGAAGTGTGCTATCACCTGTCAAAGGGGGTTTGCCCTTCAGGCCAGCAGCGGGCAATACCTCAGGCCCGTGCAGGTGAGTTGAAAACCCGTGGTCATCGAGACCAAGCTCCTGGGGAGGGAGGGGACTTACACTCCTTCCCTGGGCTGGATTGGGGAAAGGCAGGTGTTTTTAAATCATTTGGAAGGAAAGGTGAGGATTCTAACAAGCAAGGAGAGCACGGCTTCACCGAAATGCAAGGTATGTAAGAGCACGTGCAGTTCTCATCAACTAGGGTGTCGGTTTCTCTCGTGCAGACAGTGGGTAGGGATGCTTATCCCATCCTCCTTCCTTGTTTCTGTCTTCCTGTCAGAAATTATGGTCCCACTTTTGACTTCAAGATGAGAATGCTACACCTTAGACTTGTCCACAATTTGTAAATAAGATAGGTTGTAATATAAGATAGGTTGTAATCAGCTTGTCTGTGGCTCGTGGTTTGACCCCCGGACCTCCTGACAAGCAGGTTGGAGAAAGAGTCTGATTTTCTTCTCTGTGTTACCGAGGTGGGGATTATGTCATGGTTCTACCTTTTACCTCATTTTCCACAGTCTGCAAGCTACCATAGTACCATTTCCAGCATTTGGAGGGAGTAGAACATGTTAGTTAAGAGCGTGGCTCATGTGACAATCGCAGAATGAAATTTTGGCTCCACTGTTTATTAGTTGTATAATTTTTGGTAAAAACAAGCTTTCTTCCATGTTTGTGAAATAACAAGGACAGAAGTATTTATGTCATTGAGTTATAATGATGACTGATGAGAAATAATTTAAAAGCTTCTAGCTAAGGGGAGCCTGCGTGGCTCGACTGGTTAAGCGTCTGATTCTTTTTTTTTTTTTTTTTTTTATTTTTTAAAAAAAATTTTTTTTTTTCAACGATTTATTTGTTTGGGACAGAGGGAGGCAAGAGCATGTGAATGGAGAGGGGCAGAGAGAGAGGGAGACACAGAATCAGGAAACAGGCTCCGGGCTCACAGGCCATCAGCCCAGAGCCTGAGCGCGGGGCTCCGAACTCATGAGACCACCTTGAGATCACGTGACCCACTGGCTGAAGTCGGATTAACCCAAAACTGTGCCACCCAGGCATCTGATTCTTGATTTCAGCTCAGGTCATGATCTCACAGTTCGTGGGTTCGAGCCCCATGTCAGGCTCTGTGCTGACAGCAAGGAGCTTGGGATTCTCTCTCACTCCTTCCCTCTCTGCCCCTCCCCAACTTGTTCTGTCTCTCTCTCTCTCTCTCAAGATAAATAACTAAACATTTAAAAAAATTTAAAAGCTTCTAGCTAAATGATAGGCACACAGCACTCTGTTAAGCTGCCATTACTATGAGCATGATAATGTATTCTCAACTAAGACTTCTGTTTTCCATCTTTCCTTTAGGGAGCTTTCAATACTCTGCAGAGGGATCTTTAAACTTGAAATCAACCATTAGAAAACCATGACCATAATATGAGACAAAGGATGCATTAGGGAAAAGATAATGATGCTTGAGGAGAGGACCAGAAAGCCATGGTATGATCAGGAAAAAATGGATGCAAGCCTGGTGGTCAGGTGTCAGTGGTGCCCAAGATTGGGATCTTTTGCCTTTTGTACCAATTGACTACTTAGTAGATTGTAGATTCACGGAAAATCCTCACTTGCTTAGAGATAGTCTGAATTTAAATACACAAGAGTTGGCTTCAGATGGTTTAGGTTCTTCATAGAGAAAAAGTTTTAATATACCTTGAGGCACCAACTCCTCGGTCCGTGATGCTTTGGTCAGAAAGGCAGAGCTCTTATTACCTATTCTTCACCCAGCTTAACTCACACTAAAAAAGATAGAGGGAATGCAAAGGAATTGAAAAAAAAAGTAGGGATTAAATACATTTGTGTGATAGGTAAAGAGGGGGAGAGAAGAAAAGACAGTGTTTGCAATGTGTTAAAGTTAGGAGCAAAGTCAAGACAAAATGGGCAATATTTAATGAAGGCGAAGCCAGGAGAAAAACCAGGCAATATAGGCAGAGTTTGAGACAGATGCTGTGATTGTTGTGGTTTGAGACAGGCTTCCAGGCTGCGATCAGTGTGTGAGGGGCAGGGTCTGGGTTGGGAGGAGGAAGGTGGGAGCTCACCTTTGCCAACCATACGGTGGAGTCAGCCAACACAGCTCCTGTCACCCGAAGCTGGCCCCACTGAGGGAATTCTACGATCCCGGCTCGTGAACACAAGACAGTGGGGAATATTTGCTTTTTGTTGACACAAGAACTGAAACTAAACAGAAAAATGTGTCTGGCTTTGACTTGGGTCCTTCTGGCAGGCGACAGGGAAGCCCTGGGAAGAGGGAGGAGCAGCTGGCCAGGAGCGAGTGTCAGGGGTGACAGGTGCTTTCACCAGTCATTTTACCTTTGGCTTCACTGCCACTGTGGTCTCCTGGCGGCATGGCTGCTGAGCCGCAGAATCTCCCCGCTCTCTCTCTGACCTGCGGTAACCCATTGGCTGGAGGGACGGCTGTGCTCTTTCCCAAACAAGCCGTGAACTTCCAGGCCTCTTGGTTTCTGCTCATTCTGTTCCCTTCCCTCTGGACTCTTTCTTCTCCTCTACCCTCTGCTGCTGGGAAGTCCTGCTCATCCTTCATAGGCCAGTTCCCGGGCCCCCACCTCTGGGAACCTCCCTGCAGACACTTACCTCCTGCTCACAGAGGGGCGCTTCCTCCTCTAGCCCCGCCCCCATGTGCCATCTCCCCACCACAAAACAAGCACTTAGATATGAGAGGGCTGCCTCCTTTTTTATTTTTATATTTTCTCTCTTCTTGGTCCCCATTTGCTCCTTCTTTCGTTTTATCATTCGCATCCTTTGTAGCGTGTTCTTCAAATCATTAGAGAAGGGACTAGGCTGTAACGTATAACAATGTTATCTCTTGCATTTTCCTTCCTTGTTGCCTTTCGTCCCTTCCTCTCTCTCTCTTTCTTTCTTTCCATACTTCCTCTTTGGTTTTCTGACTCATTGTTTCAGCCTGTGACTTGCCATGCTGCTAGACGATGAGGTCCTTGAGGGTGTCTTGTGTATCTCAACCTACACAGAACCTGGCCCTTTCCAGAGGCTCAAGAAATGTCTCTTCGTTTATTTAGTGATGATGAACCCTAGGGCCACCCAACAAACATGACGGTCTCAGGGAACTGGAATCTCTCCAGTTTAAACACAGGTTTGGAAGGTGCCTTGTGGGCATTAATTCTTGGCCGTTCTTGGATACTCTGCCCAGCAGAGATACGTACGTTCGTAGCATTATCGGTTGGCTCACCCTCCAGGGTGTCAGCAGGAGCCGGATGACATGCTCTGAAGGGGGCAGTGTGAGAGACTTTAATACAGAGACTACCTATGAAGGCCGGATGCAGGGAAATCATAAGGATACGGTACAGAATCCCAGGGTGACAGGGTGACATCACCTATAGGTCTGAAGAGTCGACTGCAGGGAGCAGTTAACAGAACCCACAGGAAGAGAGTGCAGGAGAGGATGGAGAGGGCCACCAGAGGACAAAGCCAGCAGGCAGTAATGCCCTAGAGAGGGAGCAGGAAGAATGAGCACCCTGACCTCCCTTTCCTTCCTGGCTCTGCAGTCTCCCACCTGAGTGTGCTAGGTGTTGGGGCCAAGCACAGTCAGAGGAATGAAACCCACAGGGGCACAGAACATGGCGGAAGAGGGCACAGAGTGGATCCAGGAGCCCATGGGGGGAAGCCACGAGTTGGGTGGGAGGAGTGTCTCCACTTCATGATTCTCTTACACTAACAGGGGCGGTCAGCAGCCGCCCACCTGGCTATTGTGAGACTGTATCAAAGCCAATAGGGCACGAAGGGGGAGCGAGGCAAAATAATTTGATCTGTTGTGAATGTTTGCACCAGTAATCACCGGGACTCTTCCAAAGCTTGGAAACTGCTTTGATAAGCCTTTTCATGTGACCTTGATGGAGGAAAATTCTCCGTTTCCAGAAGGAAATTCTGCTCACCTGTTCCTCTGGGCACTGGGACCGGGCTGTGAGCTGCATGCCCCTTGATTGTGGCGTTCCCGACCCATCTTTGGTGAACTACGCAAACTTCTCCTGCTCAGAGGGAACAGACTTTCTGAAGCGCTGTTCAATCTCCTGTGTCCCACCAGCCAAGCTCCAAGGTATTGTCAGCCAAGCAGGAGCCGAACGCAAGTTCTCTTCAGCCTCTCACTCTTTGGGGGTTCTGTGGGGGGGTCTTTCTTCCACCCTAGGACTCTTCCCATTTTCTCTGCTGTGCCACCCTCTCCTGATAACACCACCAAAGTCCCAAAGGGCAACGCTTTTCTTTGTCCCGACGACGTGGAAAGATGCCCTGTCTCAGGTCTCATTAATGAAAGACACTTAGACTCCCCTGTTTTTATTTGGTTGTATGTCCTCTGGAAACAAGCTGAGTAACAGTTGCCTGATCACATTAATAATTAAGAAACGCTTTACGATGCACATTTTTTACTTAACATTTACAACCTTCCTCTGCGTTAGGTGCTTTTAGTTCTATTGTATAGGTAAGAACAGAGTTGCAGGAATCGCCCCTGGCTGTGCTGAAAGTAAGAGCTGAAGATGGGAGAGAGCCTGCTCTGACCCCACACTTACTCTTCACCTCTTCTCAGCCTTTGGTGTGCCTAACAAGGACCCAGGAGGCTTGTTACAAATGCAACTTCCTGGGCCTAATGCTGCCAGAGCCTGATTTAGTAGGTCTGAGGTGGGTTGGTGATGTTACTGTGGGAAGTTCATGGATTGCATTTGGAGGGACCATGAATGGCCCTGGGGCATGGAGTGTGGTGTTTATGTACAGAACTCTGCATCCAAACTACCCGAGTTCAAACCCTGTGTCTGCTGCTCTGGCAAGTTACCTAAACTCAATTTCCCCACCTGCAAAGTAAGAGATAATGATGGTATCTATTTCAGCGGGTTGCTTCAGGTGTGAACTTTATGCAAGTGTCGTAAAATGCTTAGAACAGTGCCTGGCATATAAGCCCTCTCAAGGTGTCTTCTCTGATTATTATTATGCTTTCCACGATACTGCCACTAATATATTTTTGTTATTTGTAGTTGGGAAGGGAGATAATGATTTGGCCGATAGCTATTCTTCCACTCTGGTCAGAAAATACCTACCTGACCTCCGTTCTGTGTAGGAGATCACAGGAGATGCTCAGTGGGGGAAAGAGAGATAGCATGAACACTGGACCCGACATGTTAGAGACGATTCTCAACAAAGAATTACGTGACTTCCTGAGAACACCAACAGCTTGACAGGTTTTTGTTCTTTTCTGCTGCACGTTGGTTTCTGGACTCTGCCCTGAGCATCCTGTGCTTTTCTTTCCTGGGGTCAGGACTGAACCCATGGCTGACTTGTCTTGAAGACGGGCTCTGGTCCCTCCCGGAAGCCTACTGCAAGTTGGAGTGTGACGCCCCCCCTGTAATCCCAAATGCCAGCCTGCTCTTGCCTCACTGCCTCCAGGGCAACCATGACGTGGGCTCCGTCTGTAGATACGAATGCAAACCAGGCTACTACGCCGAGCCAAGTGCCGAGGGTAAAGTCAGGAGGTAAGCTGGGTTGTTTCTGGGTCTTTGCAGTTCTCTCTGCCCTCGAACTTTCACTTGTAAATCCCAGACCATTGTTTTGGAAATAATATTAAGATCTTCCGGTTGTCCATTGCTTGTTGTGTTTGTTTTTCTGTATAACCTCTCTTTACCTGCACAGGTGTATTCTCCAGGCAGACAGGTTGACCAGGTGTGCTTTCTGTAAAGATATTCTTTCCCATAGGAGTTCCCATCAGCCTCACTTAGGGGCTTTTTATTTATTTGTTTGTTTATATTTTTTAATTTTTAAATTTTTCAAAATGTTTATTTATTTTTGAGAGAGAGAGAGAGCCAAGTGGGGGAGGGGCAGAGAGAGAGAGAGAGAGAGAGAGAGAG